TACACTCATGTCCATAAATTAAGGATAATGCAAAAATCTGGCAAAGGAAGAGTTAGAAGCAAAACAAATTTGACTTATTTGTAAAGCTTATTTATTAAACAAAAGGTAAAGATCAAAAAGGGATGCTATATGTTTGATATTATTAAAAAAATAGCGATTTTTTCTCCCTGGAGCAAATTACAAAAAAAAAAAAAAAAAAAAAAAAATCCTTTTACAAAAAACCAATATTACATGGTTGGTATGATTTTTAATACATATGTATGCCTCCCAGATGATGCAATACAGTCCGTACAAACGCCTAGGCATGCTGAGTATCAAATTATCGATCTGATCTTGGGGGATATTACACCACTCAAAAAGCAATGCTCTCCGAAGTTTCCGGTAGACATGTAGGAGGAGGTTGACGGGCTGCAACTCGTCGGCCAAGCATGTCCCACACGTGCTCTACTACTGGATTCAAGTCCGGTGAGAATGCTGGCCAGTCCATACGGGTGATATCCTCCGATTGAAGGCATTCGCTTACGATGTTTGCACGGTGAGGACTGGGCGTTGTCATCCATAAACACAAATTGTGCAGCCATGGCGCCCCGAAACAAACGTACATGTTGTTCCAGAATGACGTCCCGATAGATTTGGCTTGTCATGGTTCCAATTTGAACATGCAGGTCAGTTCTGGAACCCAGAATAATTCCACCCCAAACGAGCACTCCTGCACCACCGTAACGGTGTCGTTCAATGATGTTTTCTTGGTGGTAACGGGTACCTGGAGCTCTCCATATGAAAGTCCGGCGAGAATCAGACTGCAAGCTAAACCTGGACTCGTCGGAAAACATCACACAAGCCCACTGTTGCGGTGTCCACAATGCATGCTCTCTACTCCAGGCTAACCGCAGGCGACAGTGAGTTGCAGTAAGTGGAACGCATCTGACAGGTCTACGAGCATATAGACCAATCTGCCCTAAGCGTCTGTACACGGTCTGCCTTGAAATTGTCGTACCAGTGGCTGAAGAGAGCTGACGAGACAGGTCTGAGGCTGTGCTCCGCCTCTTTCTTTTTTTTCTTTTGGCAGTAATTGCCAAATACCGGTCCTCATTCGGCGTTGTAACTCTGGGGCGACCTGTGCTGTAACGTCTACTCACATTACCATCATCTTGGAATCGTTGCCAAAGCCTGGAGATGACACTCTGGGCAATTCAAAGTTCGTCTGATACTTCCAGTTGGGTACGCCCACATTCCAGAAGGCCGATAATTCTACCACGTAAAAAAAATCATCCAAATGCGTCCTTTGTGTCATAACTATTCGGTTATTCCACTGAAATGCTTATAAAGCGCCTGCGAACAATTTTACTTCTTTGCCTGTATTCCTTATATATCACTCTCTTACACTCTCGTCATTGTGACGTACTATCGGTGTCATCTGGTTACTTCCTGAAATTTGCATATGATTCTTGGAAGATGTGTGTAGTGATTTTACAGGTGATATATTTATTTTAGAGTTCAATTTCCGCGTGACTCCGAATTATCCTTAATTTATGGATATGAGTGTAGATATAACTATATTCTTGATATTTACGAGGAGTTATTTTTAACTCTTTTACATTCTAAGAGGCCAAAACCTGTTTCTATCAAACATCTGAACGCCCGTCTGTACGAATTTTTATTGGAATGAGTTTCCTTCCCTCATGCCAAGTAGAAAGCGTTAACAATAACCTACTGAAGTGTAGGATTACTTCTCTCTGTTGGGGATCTTTGTGCGGTTTCAGCCACTGTGTTAAGTTTCTCCTTAGGACAGGATTGCAACTGCGAGCATTAATAGCTAAATGTTGATGCTAAACAAAGGAGAGGAAGATCAATTCGAGTAACAGAGCTACTTTTAGTCGCTTCAGAACTATGATAGATATGTCATTTAACTACTTCCGAAACCGATGAACCTTGCACTAACGTGATGGGGAAATCACCAACTGAAAATGGACTCAGGGTGAGCTGCCGATGTTTGAATGCTCGGGCGTCTTCGCTGTGGAAAAGTTAAAGTAAGATGCGTACTTTAATGAAGACAGGTGAGAGCGGATCCGGACACCCGGACGGCTTAATAGGACTATTCGGGTATCGTCCGGAATCCGCAACTGTACAACGCAAGAACTCTTTGGCGTCCCAGATTCGCAGCGTCAGGAGATTAATAGAACTTTTTGTTGGTGCTGTATGTTGAAATTAGAGCATTTTAAACTGATATTTAAACATTTTACACAATACAATAATTGTGTACTGATGTACACTCTGCGGCTTTTATATAAATATTATACACTAATAATTAAACATTACCGTGGTGCATTTTATGTGCACCTAGCTTTAAACACCGAGAATATAGTGTTACAATAATGTTTGTTTTTCACATGCGTACGTTGGTGCACGTACATAACATTCCACACTAATAATTAAACATATTACTCTTGATTGCAGGCCAGTACTACAATGATGCATACATACATGTAAAATATAATGGATTTGCTCTACGCGAACAGGCAACCTCCAATGAACTTTCCGCAATTTAGGATCTTCCCCCTAGACCAGTGCTTTCGAAAACATTCTAGCCTATTACGTAACAGCTAGTATAAATAACGAATGCGCGCCATTTTGCGAACATTTACCGGGCCGGTTACTTGCTTGTGAGCTCTTGCGTTGCTGGGTCTTCCTATTCTTTATCCGTCTTTCTCCTCCTTACTGCGGACATTATGTGAAGATAGTTCTATGTTATTGTGCCCATCCGGCATAAATTTGATTGAGCCAGATAAACTACTGATCTCAGTGGTATTCTGGCTATAAGTTATCAGTCAGTCAGTCATTTTGCGAACAGAACCTTCTCTCTCCCTTGTGCTGTTAAAACCTACGCCTGCTCCCATCTTCCTTTCCTCTATGACGCAGTAAAATTTAAAATAATCTTATTTAGTAACGAATACTGATCTGCTTCTGAAATTGAAATAAAGGTATGGAATAGTAAAAAGTGAAATCCTGTGTCTTCTTTGGATACCGCCTTAACACTCTGCTACAGAAATGCCTAAATTTTGATGCCAAGCCTCGTCATTCATGTGCCACGACTGCCGTATCATCACATACATACATATATATATATAATCACATAAGTCATTGGCATAAGTTACATTGGCGTTTAGAGGAGAAGATGGTTCGGTGAGCATATGGTGTAAGTACGAAAATAATTTACACAGTAATACAAGTACAGACACACCAGGCGAAGAACCTCCATCCCAGGTCCTCATTATACGGGACCCATTCAGAGTTTGAAATATCCAACGCCCGTGGGACCTCGTTCTCGCAGGCGCAACCCCCGCAGTCCCTGTCCTGCTTTTACGAAGCATTGGGCAGAACGATACGTTGCTAGTTTAATACGCTGTCACCTTGCCTCCGGGCACCACTCCATCGGCAAAACCACATTGTAGAAAGGTGCTCTGTTCGCTTTGTCAGTCCCCGCCGCGAGAACTGAATGGGGTCAAACCCCCGGGAACTCAGTCGACAAATGTATCATGTAGCTCCACCACAGCCGAAGGAACAGACACGACAGTACCAGTACGGTGCCTGCCAAGCCTGAACCAACCTGAGTACAATACTCGGGCTCTAGTCCTGTGAAGTCAAATTATATACCCCCGTGGTTGAGACTGCCTAGGTACAGATCCTAACCAGTACTTCCCAGGCATTCGCCTGAGTCAACCCCCCGGGGGGGAGTAATACAAGTACAGATACATAAAATACATAAAATTAATTGACACAAGAATAGTTGGCTAGATACAAACGTTGAGTAAAAAAGTAATGAGAATTCAATAGCTTCTGAAGATGGTGGCAGCTTTGCAACAGGCCTTACCGACGCGTCATGTAGCCAGACATTTCCGCACTTTCTATTGAGTAGAACCACTAAACAAGTAATAAAGTGTTATAGTATATTATGCACCAATCCAAAACGTCTCGAAGAAACATCTTGTTAAGTAGAATGTGAAATTTCCTTAATGCAGTAGTTTGTGTAAAGCATTCCACTTAGGAAAAAGTCTCTAATCATATCAAAATAAGGTATCTTTTACTCTAAAATTATTATATTTATATTTAGTCTTATTTTTATTTTACTTATTGGCTATAAAACATTCAAATATTTATTTCCATGCCTCTGAATATTAAACAAGGAAACGCAAAAGCATATAGCTAAGACAAAGTGAAAATGTAGGTCATTTTAGGGAATAAATCTATTTTTAATTTTGCGAAACATGTATTCTTTAAAGAAACTATTAAAAGGTTTCGAGAAATGTTTATTACGAATGCGGAAATAAAAGAATATGTTGTACTAATTAATGCTTTGCTCACATTTAGATTTGGGAACATCCGTAAGCATTCATTTTATTGGTGCTTCATTGAAAACTTTTATGTGAACTGGAATTCAGTTTTAATTATGAAATTTAAATTATATGTATTCTTAGAGTACACTGCACTGAAATTTCGTGTATCACAATATTTTTTTTAAATTAAAATACGCTACAACTTCGCTTTAGTTCTCTGTGTGACCGAGCCGAAAACGGGAATCCAGTACTACTTTTTATAATTAGGTATAGCATTATTTATTGTCATAGTATCGAACTACGAGCATCAATATTATCTTAGATACTCGGAACCAATTAATATTTCTACGAACTTCATATTGAGTGCACTTGGTATTCCATCCAAGATTTCCCTTCTTATCCTTATCGCTGTCAAGTAATCGAAAAGAACAAATTATAATTATAGTTTGATACCTAGTCATCGCAGCTACCTTTCGCTTGTGAAAAAAGTTAATTGCGATGAATTATGATGCATATTAAATTAATACCGCCTGAGGATAGAGAGCTTTACATTTTTTTCCCTTAGCAATTGATGGCGGACCGAGTATTTATATCGAAGTGTTCACCTGCAAGACCGCACTGTCTGACCTGACATTGATTGCGGTTGCGTTTAAAATGGCTGGCCTTGGTGGATTTTTTAAGTAATCGTATTGACTGTATCTTAAGTATCGAGTAATTATTGTTTAGGTTTAAGTAGTTATACACTTCTCAAAGAGAAACGAATTTTTAAATCTCGTAAGTTATTCTCTGTATTTTGTCCCGCCTTCGTACAAGATCTAACACCTCTTTGAATGGAAGATAATAATTCAAGGTTTGTTGAGAAATCAACAATTGTGTTGCAAGCCTAAATTACAAAGGAAGACGGAGTAAAGTTTCGAATGATTAAATGTAGGGTTTAAAAGAAAAGAAAAAAATTATATGAATTAAAAGAATGTTAAGTAGAGCGAAATTTCAGAATTTTTGTCTTTTCAATTATTTTACCTTTTTAATAACTTGACCTGGATGGCTAAGGGAAAACCGTATCATTAAAAGTCTCCGTCTTTCTGTATGCCCGTTGTTATTTTGAAATCAGCTGATGATGTTTATGAAATGTATATCGAAAGCGTCATAAACCGCAGTTAACTGCAGAACGTTGAAGTGTCCTGTAGAAGCAAATTTCGTTTATAAGCAGCGTAGGGTATATTTCACAGTGCCATGGCACGAAAAGTAAGTTTTGATAACTCAGGTGCACAGTGTGATGAAGCTATATTTGCCAGAAGACGCAATGCACGAAGCTACAGCTCGCCCTGTGCTGTTTCTACGCCTTTGTTTGGTACGAGAAGAGGATCACGAAGTATGAAACCCGTGTCTTCTGTGGGTGAGTTGAAACAAAGAATAACCTTAAATCATTTTTTATTTCCCTTTTGTGAACCTTTAGCTTGTATTTCAACTTAAATATGTGTAAATTGAGGGTTTTAATGTTACCGATGTTATAAATCTGGTATAAATTTGCTTATGCGTTATTAATGGCTATCATTAACGCATTCTGATGCTTTTAAGCGTTTATATTAAGGTAAATGTAAGACACTCTCTTCTGTATCTGTGCATTTAAAAATCTTGTCTAGCTCATTCAGTGTTTGAGATAACCCGTAAGCGAATATAAAATACGATTTGAACATTATTTTATAAAATACAACAAAAAATACTTTACCTAAGCTTTTGAGATGTAAAATAAGAATTAAATATTCTCGCAGAATTTTTGGTAAAGTGGTTGTAAGTTTTTATGTTAATTAAACAGTTATTATGAATTGAACCTTTACTTTAACTTCTTCTTTCCAAGGATTATCCCCCCCCCCGAACAAATTAGTTATTGTATACTTCAGCCGTGGGCTTCAATGTTTCAGAGTCGGCGCTTCTGGCAGAAGACCATCAATAGAGCAGCCAACATCATCATTTAGACTTTCGGCTTTTATGCTGTGTTGATGGATACTATCTACCACCAGCCAATCATTTATTAGAATTCGGCTTTTGTGCTGTATTGATGGATGCTATCTACCACCCGCCAAGCATTTATTAGAATTCGGTTTTGACACTGTATTGATGGATACTGTCTTCCAACAGCCTGGCATTTATTAGAATAAATATATAAATGGTTGCAAACGTTATATCAAGGTTACGGTGAATATATAAATATGTAAAAGTATTTATGTTTTGAATTTACATTACATAATTAAATTTTGAAAATATAATGAAAGTCTATATTTAGAAAGTGTAATAAGAGTCAATAATTTTATGTTCATAATAATCCGTATTTAGTGGCTAGAATAGGAGTCGATAGTGTTAGTTAATAATTAATGGTCAAAAGCCAGTAGTGATAAAGAATAGTTGTTCAGTTCACAGATTTTTTCACAACTTCAATAAATTGAAATGTCAATAGGTTTATATTTAATTAGTTCATAAGATCTTTGTTATGGCGCTTTTAGGTTATCGCTATTAATGGATAAATAGTTGATTGAGAGTTTCCAGTTTATTTCGAAAAAGTTATCTTTCAGAATTTGTTTAAACCGGAGTTGACCTGATATTGTAGAGCAGAGTTTCTTAAACTGGGTCGCGACCATAACAGGAGTCGCGGGACCTGCAGTAAGGGTTCGCCAAAAATTTAGCAGTTTTGATATTTAACTTATAATAATTTTACAATTACCAAATATTTTTACGTAATGTATCTGAAAATAGATAAAGATAAGACAATACAGATAAAGAAAAAACGAAGCATTTTTTAAAAATAGAAACTTTCATTTTACTTTAAAAATTAAAGTCTAAGATCTAAAACTGCAATGGTATATTACAGACCCGACCCCATTCGGATAATCAAAAATTCGGATAATTGGATTTTTTCCAAAGAAAAGGTCATCGTACACTTTAAATAATTTCTGTGTCTACTGTATGTCGAAAATGGAAGACAAAAATAGTTTTTTAATTAATTAAAATGAAAAGACAACACTTTTACGTATATGTTAAATTGCGTACTGTAAAGTACTTGAAAGAAATTCAGCAAGCAATTAAGTCTTTGCTTGCTGAACATCTCGATCAAAGTAAACTGTTTGAATGCCTTCATCTATTTTCGGGCAGCCAAGTGGCGCGTCTGCTTGACAATGAGAAGTAGCATGTGGTCGGTCACACACAGGCTGACACTCCATTCACTTCAGCGCAGTTTCAAGGTCAGTAAACACTAGCTGATAGTCCCGTGTCTGCTTCAACTTCAACATTAAGATCATCTTCTTTGACACTTTTTTTTCTCCCACATCTTCAATAATTTAATCATCTAGAATTTGAAACCCAGGGTGTTACGAATCACACACCAACCATTCTGCTGTATCCTCAACAGTAACTTCTGAACATCCAGGAATTTTCAAAAGAATGTTTCTTAATTCCTCATGTGACACGTCATCCTCATCTTCTCTTTTCTCTTCCCTTTCCTTTTCTTGAGCTTTCTTCACTTGATTCTGAAAAATTGTAAAATTCTGAAAACGATTCGGATAGTCGGAGTTCGGATAATGGGAGTTGTAATGTATGTGTTGAAGAAGATGAGTGTTCTGCTTTTATAATATATGAAAATATATTATTGAATTGCAAATTGATAAATGATTATACTCGCATTTGAAAGTTGATACAATTTCGGTATTGGAGAGAAAATAAGATTTTACATATGTTAAAAAAATTGAATCGGAAAAATTGAATCTTTTTAAAAACGTTATGCAATTTAAGGCTTCGTATTATAACAAAGAACCAAATATAGATAAAGCCTGATATTTTATGATAGTTCACAAAGTGTTTACAGCTTGTTTTTGGATACTTTGTGGCCTCCCTTTCCAAGTAGTTTTTCATAACGGGAGATAGCACTTCTTGGAAAAACTGTACCTCATTTCTTAGAATAGCTTTTGTGGTTTTGTCTTGGCTCTACTTAATATAACCCTTACTTTTAGCCATGGCTGAAAACTTTGATGTCTGAAACAGGTTTAATAAAATTAACAGCGTAATATTTTACTGCCTTCGAATCTTTCGAATTTTAAAAGATTCGTATTAAAACTTGTATTAAAAGTTTCATAACTTCGAACTTGGAGTATTTTACCTCAAGATTTCAGAAAGATGAGTTTTATCGAGTCCAATAAAACGTCCATTGAAAAACAGTGTAATGTAGACCTTCTTTGTAGAGCCTTGTAGTTTTTTTTGCTGAATTTTATTGAAAATTTTTTCTCGAATTATAATTAGACCACCAGCGGCCGAGCGGTAAAATCGCTGAACACTGGTAGTTCGGTCTGAGGTTCGAATCCCGCGAACAGACTAGCTGCATTGGCGTTTTCGTGGTTTTCCCCATGTGTAAAGTGTATAAGCCAGTTTCCCTTAGAAATTCCTCCGCGAAGGCATCCCTTCCGTTAGTCAGGAAGCCATCGAGACTTTGCCGTAATTACATAAACCAAATCATCTAATTTAATTAACTGATTCATCAAGGCAAGTTAGAAATGACATCAAAAACTACAAATTTTGAAATTAAATATCCCGGTCAGGGGAATCAAAGTTCTTCTAATTTTATTCTTTCGAAAACAGTATAAAACTTTCCCAAATAGAAATAGAACCGGAAGATCGCATTAAAAGTTAGGTTTCATTATTAGAATTTTTTTTAACTTATTGCCATTGCCAAAACAGGAATATTTTCGTCATTTAAAACACTTATGTATTTGGAAGTATATGACTGCAACCAACGACTTTGTAAAAAGTAGAAAAATTATTGTTTTGCAGTGTAGTTGGCTTGAATCAATGTTCACCTCGTTGTGCCTGTGCAAGCGATATTCTTTACTTTTTGCAGAGAATTCAGCCTCCCGTGTTTACTGTTTCATTGCAGTAAATTTAAAATATGATATTTCTTCAATTAATCTACTTTCGTTGTAATGAAATGTCATGATTAAGCCTCTTTTTCACACACATCATAGGAAAAAAAGTTTTTAAATATTTACACTTAAAATTTAAAGCATTTTATACTTGTATCATGCGTTTTCCTAATTGACTTCAGTCATACATTTAATCTCTTCTGCTTCTTGTCGGTCAGATCGTTATTAGTGAGAAAACGGTCTCAATGTTTCCTTTCAAATCATAAATTCAAAAATAAAATTCATATTTTTTAAAGAATTCGAAAAAAATCGAAAAAGGAGGGTTTTTAAGGTGAATTAAAAATACATGTTTGGACCGGAAATGAAAGACGTACGCTGCGTGCGAACAGCGTACAATAACCGTGCCAGATGGTCGTGAAAAGAAAACTGTTTCTCTAATCTGTATATTACTTAACATTCATAATAAAAAGTACATTTAAAATAGTGTTACGTTATTTTCTTCCTTAACATTCGTACGGGGTTCGTATGGATTTGGAGTGAATAACGACGACAGCACTTGATGAAGCATCAAAAACACACTTTATCGGCCAGTATGAATCAGGACAGCTCCAAAATCACGTTTTACAGTCGTCGAAGATCTACTACAAACACGTCGAATCAATCAGCGACACAGCCTTCACAATATCGGGCTACAACGGTGAAAACCGCTTCCCTGCAAAGCACTAGAGTACAGCTCCCGACTCTACTCGGTCGTTCACGGAACTCCACGTACTCTCGAGACTCTCCACGCTACAACTCGCGATGCACTCGATGACACACAGAGCACAGCTCCCGACTCCTCGGTTCAGTCGTTCTCGGGGCTTAACACACACCCTCGACGATGCATTAACCGCGATACACTAAGAGACTCCTTCGATGCACTCGACGACCACTCGGCACTCGCTGCCCGGCTGTCAACTCGATCGTCTCCGCATGCACTAACTAGATGAGACATACTCTCAATGACTGACTATCAGCTCACTAGACGAGGCACACTCTCTGACTGCAGAACAGCAGGGTTTATATAGCTTTCGGCTTGTGTTCGAGAACATTCTGGGCTAAACGGGTAAGAATTCGTTCCAGAAGGTTCTCCATCCGTCCATGGCATATTGCTCATTTTGTCGCCAAATGGGCGATTCCTCGCCAGATGTAGCAACCCTGCTATCCTTGCTATTTTATGGCAACCCTAAACATGCTTTGCGGGGAAGCCATCTCACCGCGCCTGTATATTTCGTAACAGTGTTTTCGCTTTCATTCTATAGAATTCTCAAAATATCTTAGCCACGATTGTTCTTCAGAAATCGACGTGATCATATCTCAGGGTAACAACAACACTAAATTGTAATCAAGTTATAAAAACGTCATGTGTACTGTATTACATATCACAGCTATGTGATATTGTTATATCTAAACATTGAATGAATATGAAAGGAGGAGGTCTGAATACCATTGA